GTGTGGAATGTGGGTTTGGAGTGTGGGTGTGGGTGTGGAATGTGGGTGTGGAGTGTGGGTGGGTGTGGAATGTGGGTTTGGAGTGTGGGTGTGGAATGTGGGTTTGGAGTGTGGGTATGGGTGTAGGTGGGGGTGTGGGTAGGTGCTGGTGTGGGTGTGGGTAGGTGTGGGTGTGGGTAGGTGTTGGTGTGGGTGTGGGTAGGTGTTGGTGTGAATGTGGGTAGGTGTTGGTGCGGGTGGGTATGGTTCCTTCCAATTTCAACCAACCACACCCACACTCCGCTGAAAAAACGATAAAATCTCAGAAATAGCGTTCTGGATCCACTCATGGACCGATTCCAATACAATCAATGATGGTTCCAAGTAGATCTCGATGAGCTCTATCGATTTCACATCTCATTGATGAATTTTCTGTCTTATCACTGAGGAACATACCGATTATTTCCCATTATACTCTATATACACACGATAAGATCAATTATTCGTTTATTCATTTCAACCAATATATGGAGGGGTGTGGGTGTGGATGTGTCTTCCTTGAAACGCCGAATATCTACACTCACACCCTAGATTCAAACACAGCTGGTGTGATAGCAAATCTTCTTCAATCTCCAAGACTCCTTCGAAGCTAATAATCTTGTGCGATCTCATACATCATTTCTATGGTAATATTGTCGAGCATCTTGAACGGCTTCTCTGTGCTCCACGTAGGAAGAAGCCAATATTTCTTGTTCAAATAACACTATTTGAGTAGTATAACGTAGAGAAGCAAATAAATCTTTCTCACTTTTACTCAGTCAACATCGTTGACAACAGGTATTCGATCATTCTGCTCCAAATAAGAGATTGAGCTTTATTTAAGGCAGGTCTTTTGGGATACTCACTTCATTTCATATTGTACTACACTCTCGAAACAAGCTTGGAAAATCAACGTGAGTATCCCATAGAAATTTTTATCCAACTCGATATGTGTTCGTATTGACTCTTTTACATTATTCATTGTTCATCCCACTAGAAGAACACGCTAAAAAGCATTTCTTTCACTCAACAGACAAATAGACTTGTCATAACTTTGCACTTTTATTTGTTCGTTCTTCTATTCATTCTCTTGTATCATCATTTTTCCTTCATTATTTTTACTAATCTTTCAATTCGTCTTAACAATCGAAGAATCGTTGGTCAGCTACAACAACACTTTCATTCTTACTAACATTATCTGTTCAATAGTATTCTTTTCTCTCGACTTTCTTTTATGCTTTTTGAAGTATATCATTTCGCTGAATTTCTTCTTATCTACTATCAACGATATTCTATTATTGATTCCACACAAGTGTTCCCAAACGATCGTATATGTTCGTGGGCGAATATTTTTTCATTCGATGTAATCTAACACAGGAGCTCCATTTCTTTACTTCTCTCTCTCAATATATTTATGACATTTCAACCAACGGTAGAAGTCATGTTTTACTTTATTAAATGAATGAGTGTGTTGTATACATGCGTGACATATTGAAGCTATTTTTAAAATCTTGTAATTTCTGCATACAGAATGTTTATATCTGTCAACGAGCCTCAGTTCTACTTCTAACATGAGTTGAAATATCGTAAATATATTAGAAGAATCACAGAGATGAAATAAAGCGACTATTGAAAAAGACATCAATCATAAGTTTTAACTGTCGACTCTACGTCAAGTAATGTACAAAGGAAGTTGTGTTGAGACAGTTATAATATATGTCAAACGTTTAATAATCTAAACTACCTGGACAAACTTATCTAAATACTATGTGAAGATGCCTTAAACCACGACTAGAAACGACTTATGAGAGGTTTATTACCTCAATACCAATATATTCTCCTAAAAAGTACGATTTCCAAGGGCTGAGCTACGTGTTTCTTGTACTTTATCGAAAACATGTCTAGATTTTTGCAATATTGGAATCTCTAACAATGTAGTATAAAATTGAATGGGTGAAATAACAGTTCAAATAAACCAAGACGATCAAGTTTACTTGGCGCATTGGTTAGAATCTATAATTGTGTTAATTAAGTAACTCTGTTAAAATATGTTGATTTCAATGCCGATTACTGTTCAATTTTTATGTTTACGTCCATTAACTAACGATTTGACAAACTTTTAACTCCTAGGTCATCCTATCTAAGAATGAAACTATAATAAAATCGCTATTTAGTGAATATCATTGGAATCTTGCAAAAAGTGTTCACCAAATAGATGTTTCGCGTAACCAGAGGGAACTTGAAACACAACATCTTCTAAAAAGGCCATGCCATCGGAAATTCCGATTTCCAGGAAATTCAAAAAAATGACTATAGGAGAAATTTCATGGAAATTTAATTGAATGCTTTTAAGGATAGTCATAGACACTCTTCTAACAAAAAAGAATATAGAAATGAAGTTGAAGTCAGAGTTATGATTGGCTTGAGTTGAGTTGGGGTGAGTCAAGTCAAGTAAGAATATATATCTATATGTATAAACAAAATATATGATTCAATCTCGGGTTGGATTGGGTTGTGCACCTAATCCAACCCAACCTGACCCGACACAACCTAACCCAACGCAACCCAACTGAAAATCAAATCATCTATTTTATATTCATCTATAGATATATATTCTTCATTTACTTGACCGAATCCGATTCACTGAACCTGAGAAATGGACACTTCATTTCGGGTATTACTAATTTATGCTAACACCACTAACACCCAACTTTGTAAAACGTATATGGGTCATCTTCACTAACACCCACAACTTGGAGAGTTATGTGCACAAACACCCACTTTGTCCGACTCCTAGAAAAAATAAACCATCAACAAAGACCAAAAAATGACCCCCTTCAACACTAACACCCAAAATCTTACTTATAGTCCACACAAGCACCCCAAGTTGTATTCACTAACACCCACAAAACTCTATAATCTACATTCTGACCTGAATAAGTGCCATCCCCGAATAACTTTTTCTTATAAACTTTTCTCTAGAAATATCTCCTAATATAAAGAAAACTGGATTTTACTAATTGGGTATTACTAATATATGCTTATAGCATAAACACCCAACTTTGTAAAACGCATATGAATCATCTTCACTAACATCCACATCTTGGTGAGTTATGTTCGCAAACACCAGCAAACACCCACATTGTCCAACTTCCAGAAAAAATAAACCATCAACAAGGAACAAAAAATGACTCCCATCAACACTACCACCCAGGATCGCTGTTATTGTCAACCCAAACACCCCAAGTTCTCTTGACAAACACCCACAGAACTCTATAATCTACATTCTAATACAAATATCTGCTATCCCCGATGATGTGGATGTGGGTGTCTTCTTTTGTTCAAGATCCTCATCAACCCCACACTCACACCCACACCCACACCCACCCACATCCACCCCACACCCAGACTCAGCCACCCCCACACCCACACTCAGCCACCCCCACACCCACACCCCACACCCCACACCCACTCACACCCATGCCATGGGAAATTCTGATTTCCAGGAAATTCAAAAAAATGACTATAGGAGAAATTTCATGGAAATTTAATTGAATGCTTTCAAGGATAGTCATAGACACTCTTCTAACAAAGAAGAATATAGAAATGAAGTTGAAGTCAGAGTTATGATTGGCTTGAGTTGAGTTGGGGTGAGTCAAGTCAAGTAAGAATATATATTTATATGTATAAACAAAATATATGATTCAATCTCAGGTCGGATTGGGTTGGGTTGTGCACCTAATCCAACCCAATCTGACCCGACACAACCCAACCCAACTGGAAATCAAATCATCTATTTTATATTCATCTATAGATATATATTCTTCATTCACTTGACCGAATCTGATCCACTGAACCTGAGAAATGGACACTTCATTTCTCAGATGTTGAAAATTTTGGACTTCCAGGAAATCGGAATTTACCATGCTCTCTAGTCTTGCTTTCGGAAGTTTTGGTATAAGATGATCTTTCAACAACTGAATTCTATGCGTTTCAGAAGAATTTCCTTGGAAAACAATTTTCTATTGTAAAGTTTCCTATAATTTTGAAAAGTATTTGCTTCACAAACGAGGTTTTCCATAATTTCAGGATTTGATGACTATTCTTGTCATGATTTCGGTTGCAAGTTTGATATCTAAGTTCATTTATTGTGAAGTGACATTGAGCAAACGATATGTTTGTACTTTTTTTTTCAGTCCATCTCCTATCTTCTTTTAAAGACATTAATCAAAAATAGTGTCGCCTTCGGTAGTATATACTTTTGAAAGAAGATCATGGATTAGTACTTTTACTACCGCGAAAAATCAATCGATTTTAGCACGTGAAAAATTTACCTGCTTAGTATTTCCAAAAAAAAACGTGTAAAAAAAGAGCATTACCCATTTTTCTGGTTACGCCACTACTAATTAGATGATCACACATCTGGTCTATGTATGGTTCATCCAAGCTGAATTGAAGAATGAAATAGGTCCTTCCATCTCCAGACGATCGGTTCTTCAGTCTTATTTATAACAATCCTTCAACAATGCCCAATTCAATCCTTGCGAATCGATATAGAATAGGAAGATCTACGAGTTGAACTATGCGATGAATATATACAGATGTAGCTGTTAAAAAGAATAGCAAGCAGCTATAGGCCTAATCTTCAAATGGACAAGTGTACTGTTGCCTCAGAGGTGATTAGTCAATTTCTCACAAGATAATTCGTCACAGAGTATTCATTCAATCATTCTTTTTATTGCCTGAATGTGAGAAATTTCTTGCGATAAATTTGCCTACTATCGTTTCAGAATGCACATTGCGTTTTCTTATTTTTCCTTTTTTTCATACACACATATGTGGTTGCACATAGAAGTCTATTTTCAGCAAAACTGCTAACAGAGGTTTTACTATACCTGAGAAATGAGCAAACTGTTTACGATAGCACGACTTGTTCGGTTAAATAGAAAAGCAAAAAGTATACCCTGATACTCTTTTCCTTATTTAATATTATTATAAGTAATGGAACGAGATTGAATAATATTCATTTGTAGACATATCATGTTGCTCTATCAATTTCTGATCTGGAGTTTAATAGTCACATTGGCTAAATCGATTCAATTTAACCTTCATATTACAGACGGGATAAGTGATAATGACCATAAAAGGATGCCACAGCAGAATTGCTTGTATGATATTGATAGTGAACATTGGGGAGACTATTCGGTGAGTAGCTTTTATGGGATTATTGCCTACTGTTTGAGCGATTGGTCAAAGCAATGGCACATTCAACAGAATATTCGAGATCAAAATTATACTTTTCTCGAATTGCGCAACAGAAATATCACCGCTCAACAATTGTACCGTTGGTCAGCACCGATCGATTTGATTGAACGTTATCAATTCTATTTGAATCAAGCTTCAATTTCGAATGAAACTGAGTTGACCACCTCGCTCTTCTTCAATTGTACGCTACCATGGTTTGGTCCAATGTGTCAATACATGTTCGATCATTACGAATTACATCATTCTTCATTTTCTCATATTGTCGAAGATTACTATGAGAAGAGAAGTGAATCGAATACATTGACGTGTTATATTCATTTGCAATGCATGCGTAGTGCAAACTGGACATGCCTCGATTGGTCAGAAATTTGCGATGGAAAGATCGATTGTCTAGATGGTGGACATGACGAAGAACATTGTTGTCAATTAGAAATCAATGAATGTCAGCCGAATGAATATCGATGTGCCAATGGACAATGCATACCTATCGCTTTTCTACGAAATTATGATAGAACTCCCGACTGTCTTGATGGTACAGATGAAAATTATGCACCATTCGCACGTGATAGATGTTCAGCAATAGGTCCGAAATTTCGATGCGAAGAAATCATGTGTAGTGATAAGGATGTTGATATATACACTACCATGGCAAGACGTCCATGTCTACGAGAACGTGGAAAATTTGCATTACAAAAATTACTTTCTAATAAGCCAAATGCAATCTCGAACGAATGTTGGTCAGCATTAGTATGTGTCAATACATTAATTTCGGTCAATATCGAAGATTTGACATGTATGGATTTTTGTCAAAACAATAAATGCAAACAAATTATGGAAGAACAATGCAAAGATATAGATTTGATCTCTCTACCAGATGCACCAATGTTTAACAGCCATGTTTACATGATTTACTCGTCCAAATGGGCCTTTTCTCCAGAAACTCCACAATTGCCTGAATATGTATGTTATAATGATCAGGTCTGCAGTGAGTTGAAACCAACAATTCGATTGCTCAATTTCAATAATGTTACATGTCAACGGTATAGTGAGTTCAATTTCTCGCATGAATTTCCACTCATTACATGGGACTCGTTCATGTCACCTATGCAAGAACTATTTTGGAAATGTAAATTAATGTTCATCGATTACTCAACAATTTGCAACATGCCAAATATGTATCGATGTGTCAATTCATCGAAATGTATTTCAAAGTATCGTCTCAACGATGGTATTTCGGATTGTTATTTTGATGATGATGAAAAATATCTCGAAACAGAAAACATATGCTCACCAACTTCGAACATCAAATGTTATGAATGTAAAAGTAAAAGTAAAAGTAAAAGTAAATTCATTCATTACAATCGTTTTAAAGATGGTTTCTGCGATTGTCCACACTATTGTGATGATGAAGTGCCAATTGATCATACTGTTGATATTCAAGAACATATTTCTTTCCAGACAATATGCGATGGTTTTACTGAACTCTTACCGATCATAATCGATGGACAGAATGAAACTGATGAAACCAATTGTGGACAATGGGTATGCGATAATATATACACACGATGCGATGATATTTGGAATTGTCCTAATGGAGCCGATGAACTGAATTGCCCCGACTTACGTGTATCGAACTGTACGTCGAATGAACATCCATGCGTCTCACCAAAAGGAAATGAATTTATGTGTTTACCTATTGAAAAGGCAAGCGATGGTGTCGTCGATTGTTTGGGAGCAACGGATGAGCCTCATATATGCCGAGTATATAGATTATTAGACGAACCTGCTACATTTTACTGTGAAAATCGAGGAGACCTTAATTGTATTAACCATTTACTTCTCTGTAACAATCAGTCGGAATGCAACAATAATGAAGATGAGCGATTTTGTTCAAAACACCCCAATTATACAAACCCTCGAGAAGGCGTATGTGGCCAACTGCCATCCATTCGTTCGGAGATCGAAGAATTTCTTTGTCACAGATATATTCACGAACCTCAAAGCTCGAATGTAGTCTATTTTGAACTTGATCAAAATGAACAATCGATTGTTTCTACAAAGAATTCTGTTAGCAGAAGAATTCTGCCGCCACCAAATCAAAATAAAAATCTTCAACGGCGTTGCAATCGTGGCATGGATATGCGAGTCTGGTTGGGCGACAAAGACAATTCGACAACTACGACATGTCTCTGTCCGCCAAGCTATTACGGTGATACATGTCAATATCAAAATCAACGTGTAAGTCTCACTCTTCAAGTGCAACCGTCACCCGAGATTGGACGAGTACCATTGGCAATTGTTCTACTTCTGATTGATGACGATGAAAAGTTGATCAATTCCTATGAACAATTCACATATGTCACTAAGCGAGATTGCAAAACGAAGTTTAATATGTATTTTCTCTATTCGACTAAACCGAAAAATCCAGCAAAAAATTATTCAATACACATTGATATTTATGAGAAACGATCGACACTTCGTTACTATGCAAGTTGGTTCATATCACTCAATTTCAATTTCATGCCTGTACAGCGTACTGCCGTTCGAATAACTATTCCACAGCTTCGTATAGATAACGAAAATTGTGTCGATCCTTTCTGTATTCATGGCCAATGTATCAAATATGTCGATGATGCACAAAAAAGAACCTTTTGTCGATGTAATCAAGGTTGGTCAGGACGAAATTGTACTATTCCACAAGTGTGTACCTGTTCGTCAGATTCACTCTGTGTTGGTATTTCAGACAACAATCGATCTGTATGTGTTTGTCCTATCGGGAAATTCGGATCGCGATGTTTAATCGACAATCAAACCTGTCGATCTGGTCTAAATGCTACTTGTGAAAATGGTGGTCAATGCATACCAAACGATGAACGTGTGTCATTTGACAATCCAGTAACCTGCTCCTGTCCTGAAGGTTTCAGTGGAGATCGATGTGAGAAAAAGGCAACTAAAATTCAAATTTCCTTTCATAAGAAGATTGTCATACCACAAGTGATATTCGTTCATTTTATCTATGTATTGTATTATCAAGCACCGGTACGTAGAACCACCTTCAAGAAGATCCCTATCTATCAAACTTCTGTTACTATCTACTCGACCGAACAATTTCATCTTGTATTTCTTGAATTTTCAAACAAGACTTATTACTTGTTTGTTATTCAAAAGGAATACGTCGAGTCAGCAACAATTAATAAAACAGTGGATCCATCGCATCGTTGTCCACATATCAGTGGGCTATTCAATGCTACAGTTGCACAATCACATTTGCTTAAACGTATCAAATATTATCATGTACCCTGTCAAAGTAGTTCATTATTGTGTTTCTACGATGATATTCACCTTTGTTTGTGCACTAATGACGGTCGACAACGGGTTGCAAACTGTTTTGAATTCGATCATCGAATGAAATACAATTGTCTTGGCCAAGATATTTGTAAAAATGGAGCTGAATGCTTTATTGATAATCCAAATTGTCCTCAATCATTCATGTGCCAATGTCCTGAATGTTTCCATGGCATACGATGCCATCTCAGCACAAGTGGTTTTGGTCTTTCACTTGATGCCATTTTAGGCTATCATATTCGACCTTTCATTAGCCTTGTACATCAACCGATTGTTGTTAAACTCAGCATCGTGCTTACAATAATAATGTTCACGTTTGGACTCATCAATAGCGTTTTCTCAATGATCGTATTCACGAGAAAAAAACTGCATGAAGTAGGTTGTGGACAATATCTTCTCAGTTCATCAATAACTTCTCTTATGACAATGATTACATTTGTTCTGAAACTTTTCTTTCTGATTCTTGCACAAACAACATCAATTACCAATCGAACATTGTTGAAATGTCAATGTACTTCACTCGATTATTTTCTTCGAGTTTTTCTCAGTATGGATCAATGGTTCAACGCTTGCATCGCTGTTGAACGAGCAATGACTGTTATCAAAGGCATCAAGTTTGATAAAAAGACGAGCAAACAAATGGCTAAATGGGTTATTATCACTGTTATTCTTCTGACGATTTTAACTGCAATTCACGATCCAATTCATCGGCGATTGATTGATGATGAAGATATAGAAGAGCCACGCACTTGGTGTATTATCAAATATTCACAAAATCTTGAAGTGTTCAATTCTTTTATCAATATTTTTCATTTGGTTGCTCCATTTTCAGCTAATCTCATTTCGGCTTTGGTTATCATTTTAATAGCTGCTCGAAAACGAGCCAAGGCTCATCGTGAACAAGCTTATAAAGAGATTTTGCGGAAAACCTTTCAAGAACACACACAACTTCTGATTTCTCCTTGTGTACTAATCGTGTTAGCGAGTCCTCGTCTCATTATTTCACTGGTATCTGGTTGTATGAAATCAATCCGTGATCCATGGCTATTTCTGATGGGTTATTTCATTTCTTTCGTTCCACCGATGCTTACATTCATCATATTTGTCCTGCCTTCAAAAATGTACAAGAAAGAATTGTCCAACACAATCCAAAAATATCGACGTCGAATCAGACAATATCTGCGCTCTCGAATCTGAGACAAGTAGAACAATTGTAGTTGCTTTTGCTTAGTTTGATTATTTGCTTCAAATCCTACCGAAAACTGCTGATCGAATGAACGCTTTTTTGTTTTTGAAAATAAATAGAAATATGACTTAGATTGCTCTTATTTTATCGAACATTAAACAAGATCATCTTAGACCGATATCTTGAGGGTGTGGGTGTAGGTGAGTGTTCTTCTTTCTTTGCATCCACACTCACACCCTTTGCCCTCGTTTTCGTTGTAGCGCCATAGACGGGTCATAGTTTTTTGATAAATAGCCTAGTTGATGTTCTTGACTCAAGTACTTGGATTTTTGGAAAAATCAGCCGTAACTTTCGACGTTTTCTTGAAAGGGGTGTGGGGGTGTGAGTATTCATGTTCTGTATACTCACATCCCACACCTACACCTACACCCACCCCCTATATCATTTAGAGATTATCATTTTAATGTATCTGTGACAAATATTGTTTCTATCATACGATAGTACATTGGTGATAATAAACGTTTCTATTATTTTTAAGAACCAAAACATTGAAAATTGATATCTATAATGGAAGCTTACCATTAGAAAAACAGAATTAATCTCTAAACGAAATACTAGCTCATGAAATCATGATTCATTATTATCTGCGTTTGATTGTTCATATAATAAGTAATTGAAAAGTAATTTGACAAAATGTATCTTCTTTTTCAGCCTCTGCTAGAGTTTGAAAACATTTGGGCTTCCCAGGTCGATCAATCCGATAGCCGGATCTTATCGGATCCGATAGGTGTCCTACAGGCATCCGATAGAATAATATCAGATTAGACAGGAATCCGTGAAACGGAATCACGTCGGATCCCGTCAGTAGTCGGATCCGATCGGATCCTATAAGAGATCCGACAGTTGGATCCGATAGTATTCCAAGATCGTTATCTAGTACTGATAAAATGAATGCTAATAAAATTTGCAGCAATTAAGATTCATCGGACGGGAATCCGACGTGATTCCCTTCCACGGATTCCTGTAGGATTTTGTCGGCTGGTCGGATCTTACAAGATCCTATGAGATCCGGTATCGGATTGATGGACCTGGGTTGAATCAAATTTTGTACTGTTTCCGAATATAGGTTCAACATTCCTCTAGGACTACTGGTTTAGAAATTATGAGTCGACCGTTTTAGAGACGTGAAATTTAAATTTACACGGAGAAAATTGACGTTTTTTTTGCATAGAATGAAAAGCAACATTGTTTTCTACAAACTGATATAAAAATCAAGAGTTTCAGAACAATCATTCAAGAATATTTTGACAAATGACTTGAAGCAAAATAATCATTAGCACATCAATTTATATAGAAATATTTGCTCTGTCATTCGCTGCATTTGAAATAATTTTCACTTTTACTTTGGGTAAAATTCGGCGCGTTAAAGTTTATCCAGGCTTAATTTATAGGTTTCAAAAAGGTTGCTTCATAACTCTAAGGCTAGAAGTTCTACAAAATTTTTGAAATCATATCCGAAAAGAACACAATATTCTGATTCTAACTCAATATTTTTAAACTTCTTCAGACTTCTTAAAGAGACTGAAACATGAGCGAAAATTTTATCGATTTACTTTTCTGTAACTCGTTATATTGTTTTCATTGAAAGCCTACATATGAAAGGAAGAAAAGAAAAGAATTGTATGATAGAACTGAACTTAAAGTATTAGTTATAGTTCCAAAAAAAAAGTTTCAATACCGGGTCATATATTATACTTCTGTCAAAGCAAAACACACTGAAAAGTGTAAATGTTAATCAACAAGTAGATGGCACAAGGACCTAAGCCCATGGTGCGAAGTACATTCTCAAATTAGACTCATCTTTTATGAGATTATAAAACTTTCAGTTTAGTCGAAATGTCAAATCTAGTGGAAAAGCATAATTATATATTATATAAAGCAAATCGATGAGTTTAATACACGTTTAATTATATACACCATAAATCAGCTATGAGGAAAAACAACTGGGTTTTGTCCTAATTGAAAATCAATAGATATTGTATCAAAAATCCCATCAAAAGGCGATAGTTAATAAGGCTGTTTCTTGATCTTCCATAGATGTCAGATTGGCTAGTATTTATTTGAGCAATAAAAATACTGGGTTGGGCAATAATTAAAATACGATTTAGCAATAATTTTTGAGCAATAAAAAAACTTTATTTAAATAATTTTGTATTATTAAATGTACAATAATTAATTCATTAAGTAGCAGTAGTAATTTCATATTTGAGCAATAAAACAAAGAAAATCTACATTATTTTATATGAATTAGAGAAATAAAAAAGTTATTTACAATTGAAAAAAAGAAAAATGAAAAAACAGTGTATTATTGTGTGAATAAAAATCTTTTTTTTTTGCTTTAGATGGTCTGTCCCTTTTTCTTTTTATATTTTATTTTGTAAAATTGAAAAAATATGTATTTGTATATCTAAATGAGTTCATATTGCCCTTTGTTAACGGGTGATTGATCTAACAGATCAATACTGAACTACTACTTTATTCCAGAAATGGTGTATATATATGAATGAGCTAGGAAAAAATCAAACACTCTAGCAAGAAAACATGACGAAGATGGGAATATACCTGAACAACATCAAGCGAAGAGAAATATTCAAGTGAGAGAAAGGAAAGAAGAGAGAAAGAAAACAAAAGATATAAAGGGTGTCCTAGAAGTTCTGTTACAATTTTGAAATTCATCATTCTCGCATTCAATAAAAGCAAACTTCTTGAAATTTTGGCAGATTATTGTATATATCAAGTACTACATAACTACAAAGTTTGAGATCTATAGCTTTTATTATGAGTCAGAAACAGTAACAAGACTGTCATGTACTATTTTTTCAATTTTCCTGATCATTTTGATTATTATTAAGAAAAGACCTACAAACAATGGAAATAAAAAGATATGCATAATAATAGGTATCTATGTTCACGTCATTGACTAACACCTTGATGATTTACTAATTTTAATCA